TTATTGACATCTTTGAACGAGCCATAACTACTCATCTCGATACTTCTCAATTGAATATCCTGTAAGCTATTGATAAACCAGTAGAATATTTTGCATTCCTCATTATCTATCGCCATAAAAACTGTATTTGATACAGCATCACCAATAAGGACCTCAAGATCAGAAATCCGTGGGGTGTGAGGCCGAAGTTGTGTCTCTCCCAACCCATACCTAAAACAAATAAGATCATTGAGAGCCTGTGCACGTCCTTGTTCAGCAGAGAGAAGTGCATCAAAAATTTGATTTTGTTTTAATCGAAGACGCCACAAACAGTTATATGCATTCCTTTGCATATCGCGGTAGCTAATCTTCCAATCATCATTGAGCCGCAAACTGGTTCGGATAGCTTCAAAGATTACTACACAAGAATGATAAAAGTCGGCAGCTCTTTCCAGGTCTCCCAGACTCCAAACATCACGGCCGAGATTGAAGTAACTGCTTCCCTCTCCAGCCTTGTCTCCCACTTCTTTGGCAATTTTTAGAGCACGCTCATGATACTGGATGGCTCTTTGGAAATCTCCTAGGCTACAATAAGCATTGCCGAGATTGCCATAACTGCCTCCCTCTCTAGCCTTATCTCCCACTTCTTTGGCAATTTTTAGATCACGCTCATGATACTGGATGGCTCTTTGGAAATCTCCAAGGCTATCATAAGCATTGCCGAGATTGCAGTAACTCCTTCCCTCTCCAGCCTTGTCTCCCACTTCTTTGGCAATTTTTAGAGCACGCTCATTATACTGGATGGCTTTTTGGAAATCTCCTTGGCTACAATAACCATTGCCGAGATTGCAGTAACTCTTTCCCTCTCCAGCCTTGTCTCCCACTTCTTTAGCAATTTTTAGAGCACGCTTATGATACTGGATGGCTCTTTGGAAATCTCCTAGGCTACGATAAGCATTGCCGAGATTGCCGTAACTCTTTCCCTCCCCAGCCTTGTCTCCCACTTCCTTGGCAATTTTTAGATGACGCTCATGATACTGGATGGCTCTTTGGAAATCTCCTAGTCTACAATAAGCATTGCCGAGATTGCAGTAACTCGTTCCCTCTCCAGCCTTGTCTCCCACTTCTTTGGCAATTTTTAGATCT